ATGATTTTTTTTTTTTTTTTTTGTACCAGGGATGGAGCTCGGGTCCTTGTATTTGCAAGGCAGGCGGTGGCACCACTGAGCTAAATCCCCGGCCCCTTATAGTGATTTCTAGCATTCCTGTTTTATGTTTGTTTTGTTCTGCCCTTCTTTGTACAGAAATTATAAGAATTGTATTCTCTATACTTTTGTTTTTGTTTTGTGTTTTTTTGTTTGTTTGTTTTTGAGACAGTCTCACTATGCTGCCTAGTCTTGCCATGACTCCTGGATTTAAGCCATCCTCCTGCCTCAACCTCCCAAGTTCCTGTTACTACAGTGGACACCATTGCACCCAGCTGTATTTTCTATACGTTTAAGGGGGAAATAAAGATTAAAAACCTTAATTGTTTTTCTTTTTTAGAAGAATTTCTATTCAAACTATAGAATAAGTAAATTGTACCTTTTAATGTCCTGGTAGCCACCACATCTTCCAAGTTCTTCCCAGTGAAACACACCAGCTCTATTATAGCTAATTGTGCCAGGTACCTTCCAGCGGTTCATGTGGCTCATTGAAGTGTTAGTGGGAATGGCATTGTTTGCTGCTGGCTCTTTTACCTCAGGAGGAGGGGGCAGGACTGGTGTTATTCTCCACAATAGAACAGGGTTGCCCCAAACAAATTAGTAACTACTAATGGAACATGGGACATTTTTGCAGAAATGTGCTGCAAATTTACATCTAATAGAAATAGTGAATAGAATATTCATACTGTGAGGAAGAAAAAGAAGCTATAAGCTTAAAAAAATCATGCTGACAATTTGGTTTGTATTTGTAAACTTTTTTGGTAGCCTTTTTAATCTAATTATTAACCTATATGATTCATTTATTTGAGGGGATTATTATTAAAATTCCCTTTTTACAACTTTTAATCAATTTAATTTGTTCTACTGTAAAAGTCATATGTACTCATAGTTTTTAAAATTGAGCCATAGCAACCCACTTTTGTGTTCCCTCCTGTCTCTCAGGAGCTGTCTCTCTCAATAAATTTTCTTATTCTAAAAAAAAAAGAATAAATTAGAAACTGACAGAAAATTCAGCCATACAGAATAGTGTGAAATGAAAATAAGTATTCTTTCCTACTAATAATCATGTTCATTCTAACAGTCTCTTGCATATCCTTCCAAAAATGTTCTCTACTTTTATGAACATACATGCCTTTATTTATATTGATTTTTTTTGTTAAACTGGGATTATACTTAATTTTTTATCAGTATATCTTGGACATCTTTTTTTTGTTGACACAGAAAATTCTATTTTCAGACACTTTCAAGTTACTAAATGCCAAGTAAGTTTTCTTCTATGCTCATTTTTTTATTCTTGAAAATACTGTTTTCTTTTTCTTTTTTTTTTACTTCTAGAAATCAAAACCAAATTTAAAAACATCATCCTCCTTCTAAAAGTGTTACAATATTGGCACAACTAACTGTGGTTTTATACCCAATGTAGAGTGATAATTACACATAAGAATATTAGATTATTTCTTAAAATATGAAACATTTACTGTGATTTTGCTTATGTCCTTTAAAAACTGAGTAAATGAATAATAATTATTGGCTATTCTAAGATTATTCTATGTCCACTACAGCTCATCTTCATGTGTGTGTCTTAATTATTATCATTGTTTTACTAAGCATTTAGAGTCAATAAGAGCAGGCAGGCTTAATTCAAAAAAGCTAGCTCCTAAACCAAAGTGCCTACTAGTTATATTCAGAAACAGCCGTTTCCTTGTCTGGTCCAAAGCAAGAACAGAGAACCCAAAATCATCAGATAATTCCATAGTAGTTTCTCTTCCAGCCAAACACATATCCACAGACTATTTTGCATTGGTTGTCAACCTCTTGCAAAAACAGAAGGCAATAAATAGATTGCTTTCGAAGTTCAATTTTCAGAGTATCTAGTAATTGTGCTGTTTAACACTATATTTTCAAAAGTCACTTGATACAGAAAAAAATTCATTTTACTGTTCTTTGTATTAGGAATGAATCTGAATTACTTTTCATCATAGGAGTAATACAATTTTTATTGTGTTGTCCAACAATAATTTGTAGTAGTGATGATTTCTGATATGGTGAAATGAAATTTCCAAATACCTAAAAATTAGTTATGTATGCTAAATCATTGAAAGTTACAATTACTGCTTTCTTCCTATTACTTATTTTAGTTACCCAAAAGTATAGAGACTTAGCTCTTAATTTATTATATTAAATAAATAACAGATTTATGCTTTGATGTACTTTAAATTTTTAGTAATATTTGAAGTTTTCTTTATTTGAAGAAAAATAAATCAAAACTAGCATAACATAGCAAAGATAGTGATAAAACTAATCTAAGACATCTTAAAGGTTAAGTAAGTTAAAACTAAAGTACTTGGGTGAAGGGAGGGCAGAGGTAAGGGGAAAAAATGAGAATCAAGACTTGTCATGTTAGAGGTACAAGATCCCAACAATGAATGTAACTGTACTGTATCCCTAAAATGTACCAATAAACTCAATTAAAGCTGGAAAAAAAAAAAACTAAAGTACTTAGTATGTTGTATTCTGTCAAGAATTTCAGTGGAGACAGCACTAATGTTTTTCCCCCATAATTTGTTTCAATACCTTATGACAACTATTTTAACAAAAATACTAATTTCAGACTGAGGATATAACACAGTAATACAGCATTTTCCTCTCATGGACATGTGTCTAGGTTCAGACTCTAGTACCACAAAGATAGACAGACAATATAAATGTTACTTATATTTTTAAAATATCTGTTAGTCTTGAGTTTAGAACATTTCCACAAAGTAAATAGCTGGGGATGTGACAGCAGAGCCAATGTGAGTCACCTCCCAGCCACATTCCACTCTCAACCATGAAGGCTCTAAATGTTCTACTTAGAGAATTGTAAAAGTCTTCAGAGGCCCACAGAGAATCTCCTCTACCCTGAAAGGGACCCATAAGGTTTGCCTGTGGAAGGGCTTGTGCTGATTTAGCTGCTCCTCCTCCCTTTGCATTTACACCCATGCCTCTGCCTTACATTGGCACGTGCACCTCAGCTTCTGTGTTTTCTTTGGGCCGTTCTTCTCCATGTGGCCCAGACCTCTACTCTCAGCACTGTGGGACCGGGCTGGCTGCTTGTCCTCTCAGCTTTTCTAGCCTGGGGGTAGTAGCACCTAGAAGGTTTGCACAGGTTCTGAAGAAACCATGAGAAAGTTCCTCCGTAGCTTCACTCCAAAATTAGGTTTAGAGAATGTTCTATTAATTAAAATAAATAACCTGTAGTGAAATTGTTTTTCTATTTTACAGTAGCCACTTCTTCATTCTTGATTTGAGTATGAGCTTAGGTCTCATTTTCTTATACAGATTTTCCAAAAACTCGATTTAGGGGCAGGCACAGTGGTACATCTTTGAATGATAGCTAAATCTTAGAGTGTGAAATAAGTGATGTTATACTGGGTCAAACTGGTGTTCCACTTGGCCCAGTACTCTGACAGTGTAAGAATGTTTTATAGAAATAACATAGTGTTTGTCCTGCTACTCAGGAGGCTGAAAAGAGAAGATCCCTTGAGCTCGAGTCTGAAACTAACCTGCACAACATAGCAGGACTTTGTCTAAAAAAAAATGGTATTTTCTTTTCATAATGATGTTTTCAGAGGATAGCCTAAATGTGAGTAACATTTCTCTTAAAATCTGTTAGAGATCTAAAATGTGAAAGATATGATTGGAAGAACTTTCCACCAATCATTGTCATAAAATGTCCTTTAGATAGTGGCAGAATTATTATCAGTCACCATGTCTTCTGACTTGACAAGCAGTGTGACCTTTTTCTGGAAGTTTTCTGACAGCCTAACTCAACTGTCCTCTTGTTTGTCAATCTCTCTTCTTCAAAATTTCTTATCTTCAGCACTACTGGCATTTGGGGCTGATAATGCTTTGTCATTAGAAATATTTTCTACATTCTAGTACATTTAGCAGTATCAGTGGCTACACTATCCACAAGATGCCTGAAGCACCTCCTCCTGTTCATGATATTTAAAACTACATCTTATAGACATTGCCAGATTTCCCCAGGGAGGTCAAAATAACACCCTACTTCCCAGTTAAGAACCATTGCTCCAGGCTAGCATAGTGGCACACACCTGTAATACCAGCACTCAGGAGGCTGAAACAGGAAGATCGCTGCAAGTTTGAGGCCAGCCTGGGCTACATAGTGAGCTCAAGGCCACCCTGAACTACTAAGGAAACACTGTCTAAAAATTTAAAAAACAACAACAATAGTAACATTGCTGTTTTATTATCTGCAAATGTAGGAACATTGGTCTTGGAGTTATACTTAGGCCTCAGTGGTAGAGCACTTGCCTACCATGTAGGAGGCCCTGGGTTTGATCCACAGTCCTGAGGAATAAAAAAGTTTCATGTAAAGATGTATTCAAC